GCCCAACTGACTGAGCCCCCCAGATGCCCCTGGGCCTTTTCTAATAGGGAATATTGATAGTTACCTGTATCGCTATATGGAGAGTAGAATTATGTTTTGTTCTCTTTCTTCTTCCTCTTTCTAAAGGTTTGTTCCAGTAACCAGTACATACAAGAAATATATAACTGACAGTAAGACATACCAAGGAAAAAGGGTGACCATGACTTTCCTAAAGGGACAATGTTTGAGATGAACATTTATAATTTTTCCTTTTATATCTTCATGGAGTACTTTCTGAAATGGCCTTTGCCCTAAATGTACTTGTATTCAGTTACTTCAACAAAAAAAAAAACAACTATTCTCCTCTTATTCTGTACAAGATTCTGAGGATCAAGGCATTACCAAAGCACCATCTCTGTTCTTAATATGTTTATTATTAAAATTATCAAATGTATAGATTTGTTTTCTCTGAGTAAACTATGAGCATCTTGAGGACAGGAGCTAGATCATATTCATCTTCTTATCTCCTTTGCCAAGCACAATGTCTTGAACATATTAGTGTTCACTAGACACTTGTTGGATGGATAAATGATGGATAGGTGGATGGATGGACGATAGGTGGCTGGCTGGTTATGCTATAGTGCCTACAGTTACAAATGGGGGTTTGTCTACATGGTTCTTGTCATGACCACACCTGTTAATCATCCAGGACTTTATTATTCCACTCTTAGATGCATAGAATAAAGAGACTTTTCAATATCACATAGTCCAGCTCCTTCAGTTGACAGCTGAGGAAATGAGACTCAGAGAATCTAATTTATTCACAGCCCCACGCTAATAAGTAAGTGCCAGATCTGGGTTAAAATCCAGATCTCTTGCTTTTCAGTCAAATGCCTGCTACATTATGTTGCTTTCCATGACTCATATTTGGAGGCTTTAAAGGACCCTGTGGAGCAATCTGTCACTCTTGGCTTATCTTTGAGAAAAAGTGGGGCTAGAGCAAAACAAGGTGAAAGGAGCCTAAGGGCTGCTGAATTCATGTGTTGATGGTACTGAAGAAAGGTAAGAATAAGAATGACTCATCTTTATTCAGGTGGATGTCATTCATGTTTTTCTCAGAAGATGCCACACTCAAAATTCAGTGGGCATTCTATTCCCTCCCTAGTCTCCTGGACAACCTTTGGAGATGATGCTGTCCAGCCCTACTCCAGGGGCCAAAATTTCTGGTTGATGCAGAGTCCAGCCTTTCAAAACCCTTTCCAAAGAAGCTTATGCTGTTCACCTAACAGTGAGATTGCCATGATGATGCTATCTCTCGATCCTCCTGCTACTGGGACAGTCTCCCAGCATTATCATCTCTGATTGCCTGGATTTCTGTTTCTCTGAATTATGCCGAGTCACACTGCATCTAAATGCTTGTGATTGACCTATTCTTAAAATCACTTCATTAAGAATTTAACCTTTTAGATTAAACTATTTTAGAATGAACATACAACATAAATGAATTTCGAAATAATTGTGCTGAGTAAAATAAGCCAGACAAAAAAAGAGCATATAATGTCTGATTCCATTTATATAAAACTCTAGAAAATGAAAACTGATCTTGAGTAAAAGAAAGCACATGAGTGGTTAGCTGGGGAGGTGGGAAAGGAGAGGTAGGGAAGGGGAGTGCGAAAGAGAAAGAAGTGAATTTTGAGGGTTATGAGTATTTTACTCACTTGAGTGTAGTAATGGTGTCATGGGTGTATGTATATGTTACAAGTTATCAAAATGTACAATTTAAATATGTGCAGTTTATTATATGTCAATTATATCTAAAACTTTCTTTTAAAGAATGTAACCTTTTAAAATTTAACCAAAATACCGTATTAATCAGGGTTCGATGACAGAAGCAGAAACACTAGGGTGTGTGTGAGTGTGTGCGTGTGTGTGTGTGTGCATCTGTACCTGATACATTTATCCCAGATCCAACCAAAAACACATCACTTTTCACCAGAAGAGGATTCAAAGTTCTTTTTTGACTTGGGATGATGGTTATTCTTAGTGTGATTCCTGCTGATTCACACTTCTCCTTTGCTATCCTATAACTTATATATTGAGATATTAAGTTAACTACTATTAACACATGTTAGATCATAAGGGGATGAGAAAGGACAACATAAAAAATAACTGGTTAAATATATATATATGCAAAAATATGTATATATAACTATATAGTCATAACATAATAAAGAAGAAACACTCATAACTATTACCGTACTTATATCTGCAAGTGGTTATGTGGTCATAGATGGTATTTATAACTGCTTTCTTCCAGTACCCATTCCACTTTCCCTTTGTCTTTAACAAAGACCTTAGCTAGTTGTGGATCCTTGCCTGGTGGGGTGAACCAAATCTACATTCCTGAAGGGTCTGGGCCATTAGCAGTCCTGCTAATTGAGTTGATGTAGCTTAATACAGGATGTGAGAATACCGAGAGATAACCCAGAAGATTTTTAACATCAGAGACATACTCCCCCTTACCTCTGTGCAGAGGCAGCCTGGGTTCAATCACTCCCTTCTTTGCCTGTTGATTCATGAGTCAACATGTCCAGGGGTGGCCAGTTCACTAGAATCATCATTGGATCCCCCAGTGGGAGCATTCCTCCCTTTGGAACTAAGACTTCTAGACCAGCAGAGCTTGATATCATAAGGATGGGAAGCAAAATTTAGTGGATCATTAGGGGTAACAGTGAGAAGAACCTTTCCTATAACCTCCCTTTGCTCCCAGACCCATGAATCCTGGCCATGGGAGAAAAAGAAATATATATTGGATGATGATTTAGAGCATACTTTGCATCCTGGACAACTGACCATAACTAAGTCTTCAAAAGGCCATTCTGTCAATCTATCAAGCCAGCTTCTTCTGACTGGTGGGGGACATGGTAAGACCAATAAACCGCATGAGCCAATTGTACTTCATTTGTTGTGAAATAAGTTCCTTGGGCAGACACACTGTGTGCAAGCAAGGCATATCTGTGTCCAGAGTTAGTGTCTATTCCAGTAAGAACAAAGCATGCCCTTTCTGTGACGGAAGTGATCCGATCGAATGTAAGCAACCTGCCAATAGGTGACTAGCTGGTAGCTGGGAATGGTGCCATGTCAGGGGCTCAGTGTTGATTTCTGCAGTTCGCAGACTGAGCACTGCATGGTGGCTGTAGCCAGATGGGCCTTGGTGAACAGAAGTGTGTATTGCTGAGTCCATGTGTAACTTCCATCTTTGCTACCATTGTCACTGCATTCACGAACCAATTGGGCAATGACAAGAGGTGCTGGGGAAGGAGGCTGACTGGTGTCCACAGAATGGCTCATCCTATCCACCTGATTGTTAAATAGTCCTCTATTGAGTTTACTCTTTGGTGAGCATTCACATAGAACACAGATATCATCACATGCCATGCCCATTTGGAGAGGTCTGTCAACCTATCTTTCCTCTAGATCTCTTTGTCACCAATTTTCAATCATGGTTCTTCCAAATCTCTGACCTTCCAGCTAAATATTAGCCACGGCCCATGAATTAGTATAGACTTGTACTTCTGGAGTACAAGTACATCTCCTTCCAAGCAAAATGAACAATCAGGTGCCTGCTAAAAGTCTCATACACTGGGAGTATTTCCCTTCACCACTGTCCTTCAGGGCTATCTCAGCGTGGGGCTGTCATGCTTCACTTGAACATTTTCTTTTCAGCTGTCAACTGTCAAGTGGCTTCTGCCTATTGTGCAGAGTCATGT